AGGACCGATGGACGTCGGGAAAGGCAGGGAGATGGACAGCGCGACTGATCCCAAACATCAACGCCTGGCTCTTTCGGAAACACGGGGACACGGATTTTTTCCTGATCCAACTACTGACAGGACATGGGTAGTACAACGCCTATCTCTTCAAGATGGGTCTACACAACACACCAGCATGCAAATACTGCCCGGATAAAATCTACGACGCCGAACACACATTCTTCGACTGTGTTTGGTGGAAGGTTTACAGAAGAAGCACCGAAGAGATCATAGGCACCAGGCTCTCCCCTCAAGTCTGGTGACCTATATGATCAAACAAGAGGAAAACTGGTCAGCTGTTGCAGCTTATGCACAGCACCTCCTGAAAGACAATATCGCAGAAAGAGACCAGTAGCCAGGAGTAGGCGTCGTGAGACGCAGCACGGGTGGATTGAAGTAATGCTAACGCGGTTCCAATCCTGTCCTCCCCGTACCATCTAGGGGAGAGGGGAAGAGGAATGTTTTTTTTAGGGGGTAAAAATCTCCACACTACCGACTATCGATATCTGCCGTAAGATGGGCGGCAGAGTTAACGATAGCGGTGTCTTTTGAAGATCTTTTTTCGTACCTCTTTGGAAAAAACACACACACACACACACACACATACAGCCGCACGGACACCATCGCAGGAATATTCAGGGAAGTTTCCTGTGACCTTAAAACGTCGAGATCTGATGAAAACTCGATTTTCGCAAAACGGGGCGAAAACAATAAGTTCCCGATTTTTGAAAATCTTCGATTTTCTTAGCGGGAAGTTAAAAATTACGAAATATATAAAAAATCAAAATTATTCTAATTTATGGTGTACCCATAATCCAGGACAATGATTAAAGAAAAAATCAGTAAATTTTAGTTTTTTTATAATTTTTAATAAATTTTGAGAAGAAAAGCGTGTCGTAGTCCAAAAAAATAGTATACACTCCACGCGAAGTAAATAAGAAAGCCTCAGATCACATGACTGAGTCGTGTGCTGCACTAGACTCGTTCGGGTGCGCACACGACTCAGTCTGGTGTAAACTAATTTTTCTTCCATTTTTTCTTGCACACGACTGAGTTTGGTGCAGAACACGAACCAGTTGGGTTTCAATTTTCCGTATACATTTATTAAATCATATCTCTACACAGTAAAAAAATTTTTGTCAAATTTAACACAAAAATTTGTGTTGATGACTTTTTTTACACAATTTGTGTTGAATCAACACTCTATTGTGTTAAATTAACATACTAAAATGTTAAATTCTACACACTAAAATGTTAAATTCTACACAAACATTTTTACACTTTACACAATGACGAAAAATTTTTTACTGTATATAAGTTACCAACAAGATCAAAAAATCTACATCGACGTGAAAAGTATAACGAGAATTAAAAAATGTTAAAATCTAGGCAATTTGTGAATCAAAGCTCCTTCGAAGCGAATAGATACATCCGGGTTTTATATAGGTTTATATATGGTGACATCAGCAATAACTGGACTGTATGACAATTTTTTCAGGTGTATTTCACTGGTTGGAAATTTTTACTTGCTTATCTCAAATTTATTTTTCTGGAACACCTTGAATTAATATCAAGTATAAATGAATAAGTTAATTAGGTACAGTATTGATAAGATTTCTTGTAAATCACTTCATTGAATGCAAATGGATATGTCTAAATCTAAAAAAAAACTGCCAGGAAAGTTTTATTCATAGTGACTAATAACAGTTTAGTGGATGTTTCAGAATTTTTAGGGGTAAATAGAAGAGTAAAGAGTAATTAGACGATTTAGCTATGTATTACATTAATAATCATTGATGTTTCAACATTTTTATATACATTTTTAAGCACAATAAGTTGTATATATATTCAATAATTTATCATCTTCTTAATAATTATTTAGCTTTCTTCGTTTAACTACATTGTAGATATTATATCCAAAAGTTATTTTGTTCCACAAAAAAATGATATGTATGAGACACGTTGTTTTATTTGAATTAAAACAACGTAAAGTATTTTTAATTACTAATTTTTATATGTATATATAATATATAGTTCTTTCTATAATATTACATTAAAATAGTCAACGTGCGTTAATGTTAGTGCGTATTTTTTCATATCGACTTTTTTTGTTTCCATTGGACTTATTATAATAAATAATAACATTTTTTTAAATATTTTATTTAGCATTTTCTCAACGATAAATAATATTTTTTTGCACCATCAATAACGCAAAATTTTATTATAACATTAATATCATAATTTTAATATTTTGTTATTTATTATTTTTTATTAGTAATAAATTTACTTTCATTATTTACTTACTTTCTTTTTTTTTTTTCTATTTTAAACAAAATATAAAAATTTTTTACTTCAGTAGTAAGTAGTCTGTCGGTTACTTTTTCAGTTGTCCATTTTGAATAAGTGCCAAAATATATATTTTGAACTGCTCAATTACAGTCGAGCGATAGAATGTAGATTTTGTAGTTTGTAATTTGTCTAATTTCCATTTAAAAAATAAAAAGTTTTCAATTTTTCACAGAATTAAAAAAAAGTGTTTAGGTTTGATTTTTTCTTATATTTTGTATAAAAAATCTGTTGTTCGTTAAGTTAAGTATAATTAAAATCAATGAATTATAAACAGATTTACATTTTTATATTTCACTGATAAAATCCTGTTTACTAAAAAGAATTATTTTTGAATATTTAGTATAACAATTTTACAGGATAATTAGACAAATCCCAAACTGCAAGACCTTGGGTTCATTTTTGGAACTTATTTCAGATAAATACCCCTCAGTATAATATAATGGTTGCCGGTCAGAATATAGAAAGAATAATTCAATTTTTTTGTTATTGTTATTACATGTAGAAGAGATAAAATTATATCAAACGATCTGAATATTTAATGAGCTTTATCTGATGAGCTAAATTATTCTGATGCCAAAAAAATAATACGTTAAATTTGGAGTAATAAACTTTGTCTTAAGCTAATCGAATTGAGATAAATTTGTTACAATCCTTGGCAAGTTGAATAAAATCAAAAAATTTAAATTAAATAAAAATTTGTGCATGTTGACCACGCGCGATAGAATTGAAACTTCTTGCTCATTTTGTGAAGACTAATTATTTTTAAGATGCATCAACCACCGGCTTTACATAAGCGTTGTAGAATTAATCAGTATGTCAGTAATTAACATAAATTGTAATTTTTTGTATAACAAGTGCTACCATATCAACAGTTACCGTAGCAATGGCGATCTTAATATTTCGTAAACGCTTGAAAATTCCACAGTTATAAAAAAAAAAGTTTCACTTCAAAAAACTCCTCTGTTGATGAATTTAAAAGAAACATGCTATATAAAAAAAAATGAGCTTGTTAGTAGGTCTTTGAACACAAATAAAAATGTTCGTCAAATGAAAAAATACTGGACCAGTAACATATTTTCTATTTTACCATTTGATATTATGTATTATCCTAAAGTCATTGGTGATTTAGGTTTATATTTTTACTAATTATATTTTCATTTTCAATTTCAATTTATTTAAGCTTCTGGTCTCAATTGGAAAAGCAAATCAACAATGCCTTCATCGGCTAATGTTGAAGTATCTCCTACATTACGATCCCCAACGGCAATTTTCCTAAGTATTCTTCGCATTATTTTTCCTGAGCGAGTTTTAGGCAGCCCTGGAGCATGATGGATTATGTCTGGTTGTGCAAATGGCCCGATTCGTTCTCTTACTGCGAATTTAAATAATTTGTTAACAAAATAATCGATAAAGAGTTATTAATTAATTACTTGGCTTTAATAATAATTAAACTTACTCTTCTTTTTGAGTTCATCTTGTAACTGTTTGTCGAAATTTTTTCCTTCATTAGGTGTAATGAAACAGTAAAGACACTGCCCTTTTACTGGATGAGGTTTACTAACAACTGCCGCTTCAGCAACTGCTCCATGTTCGGCTAAAACACTTTCAACTTCGGCTGTTGACATGAGATGGCCGGATACGTTAAGCATGTCGTCAATTCGACCAGTAACCCAAAAGTAACCATCAGAATCACGCCTTGCTCCTGAAAAGAAGAAAGATATATAATTTGAAAACCTTCATTTTATTAAATTAAAAAAAAAAAAAAAACAAACAAATTAATTCGTCTATTCTACAGAAAGTGCTTCAATAATGAGGCAAATTTGAAATCTAAGATAAAAGTAGCAACTATTAACACAATATTTTATTTCAATTGAAATAAAATATTGTGTTAATAAATCTTAAGATTTATTCAATTACCTATGATATTAATAACAATCGTATCTTTTTTTTTTTTTTTTTTTTTTTTAAAAAAAATTTTTGCAATTTAAA